TGGTGTACCTAATAAAGTGGCCGGTGAGTGTACACTCTAACAAGTTTTACTTTTGCATAAAACTCATGACAAAGTTGCCTAAAAACTTGTACTCTGTATAACACACACACACACACACACACAAACACACACACACACACACCTACCTTTGTACCAGCTGCTGTGTTAGCTTCCTGCTAGCTGTGAGGAGGACTTTCCTCTCTGGTCTTGGCAGTAAAAGGGGATAAATGTACATTTCYYKTTTRTAACCTCCATCTTCTCATTTCTGATGCTGACTCTTGAATATCCTCAGGTTAGAAATGCTGATTACAAACACAAGCGTGAGCTTTTAAAGATAAGTTTTCCCTGTAATTCTATGATCCTCTGCTGTCACCTCCTCATCAAGAGGAAAAAGGATAAAAACTAACTCCTCTATTGTACCTGCTGGTTAGTGGACACAACAACACACAACAGAACTCATGTTTTATACCAGTAGATCACAGATGCTTTAACTTTTGTGACTTTTTCACAGACTAGCACTAGCAGCTAACGCTAAAAACAAAGGCAAGAAGCAGGAAGTGGAAGGGAGGAGCGTGGCATATAGACTGTTAAAGACTGAAGCTGAAAGAAAATCATTCAGGTTTGTTAAAGTTGGACTAAATCTGTAAAACAGGTAATAAAAATAGACTCAGAGACGGGAGAAGAGCTGTTCAGCTGTTAGTAAAAAACTGTTCTAAACCTTGTCGGTCCATCCCATAATAATCTACAGGAACCTGCCCTCCAGCAGAACAATAATCAGAGCTGCAGCAGCTTGAAAAACTAAAACCAACCCAGCTGGACTCAGTAAAGCTGGGAGCAGAAACTCAGTGATTTATTTTCTGAATTAAAAGGTTCAGATTTAATCTGAGCTCGTGAGGTTTGACCCTAACCTTAAAGAGTCTGGGGAAGACATCGGTGGGCTGTCCTCGGACCACAAACAGCCTGGAGTTGAGCTTCTTCAGACTGTTGTCCAGATCCCCCAGAGCCTCCAGCAGAAACCTGCACAGATTTAAACCAGAACCACCAGTAAAAACAGATTTATACTTTTATATTCCTCTTTTAAAGGCTGCTAACGCCTGCTTTAATGATACAACTTTTTATATTGTGTCAATGTTTTTTCAACAAAATCTGAGACAAAATACAGATAAGATAAGATAAGATAACTTTATTGAGCCCACAGTGACAAAATTTGCACATTACTGCAGCTCAATGCAGGAGAGGGTGAGATAGAATAAAGAAAGATAAATAAAAGAAAAAGGACAAACAAATACACATGTGATATGTAACAATAAACAAGTTCTTTCTTGTTGCTTCAAAGAGAATTATAAGAATAAGTAGCTGTCAGTCTTCCCAGAAGGGCACAGTCTAGCGATTCACCCGCAAGGTCAGACCGTGCAGTGCTCAGAGAGATGAGCTCATCTCAGGCCTCAGCAGGTCAAAGATTATTTTGGAGAGGCTGCATCCAGACCAGACCAGACCCCTGAATCAGGAGGAAACCAGTTGATGGTCCAGTAAAACGTTCCTTGGATCCAGGCTGCAGATCTGATCCTTCAGACACAAACCTGGATCCACTGAAGATTTAATGTGTGGGTTTCAGACCTCGGGTGAAGTTTTTTGTACTGGAAGTGTCTAAACTAAGTCTTTATTCAAACATTTTGGGTGTAAATAAAAACTATAAAACACAAAGTGCACTCCGGCTGTCATCTCTGTTTCTGTTACCAAACTTCTGACACATAAAGACAGAAAACACTAAGCAGACGTAGCGCTTCTGTCAACCAAATGTTTGTATTTGTTTCTCTCATCACCAGCTTCAGCAGCTCATATTCAGTTTATATTAACGCCGAAGCAACTAGAACATGATCAGATTTTTCCTGAAACAAAACCTCATTTAAAAAAATATACACCGCGAGAGATAGAAAAATAAATCTAAAATTGTAGGTTTCTTCTTTGGAGTTCGTCATTGAGCTCTGTTAGCGGCTAGCTCTAGAGGCCCGAGCCTGAACTCCGAGGGGAAAATAAAATTAAATGTCGGTAATTTAACATGTCTCACTGCAAAACAATGTTCAACATAGCTTTAAAGAAACTATAAGCAGAAAGAGAAGGTTAAAAGTGACAAACCTCCATCGGTTGATTCCGACATTAGCGGCTCCAGCGAACCAGGGGTCCAGGATATAAACACAGCGCACCGTGTCCGCTCCGCTCAGGGCCTCCTGGAGAGCCGGGTTATCGTGCAGCCGCAGACCTTTGCGGAACCAGTGCACGGAATTCACAACCATGGTGTCCTTCTAATCATCCGTTTAAATTTAATCTAAAATAATAATTAAAAAATAAGATTCCGAAAAGCGCAGCGGAAACCTCCGGAACGAGCTGCAGATTTGGACCACTCTCTGTACAGAAACATCAAAACTTTGCCAGGGTTCGGGGGCGTAGTTAATAAACAAGGGGCGTGGCTCGGAGTGCTCGCTCTGTGATTGGTCAGGCAGTAAAACGTCATATTGAATTACAAAACCAGCCTGCTGTGATTGGCTGGTGCGGAGGAGAGCAGAGAGCAGCAGGAAGGTGATGAGCCGTGTCACGTTTATCTGAAGAGAGGCTCGTCAGGTGGAGGCGCGTGCGTCTGCGTGGAGTGCGCGCGGAGGGAAGGAAGGAAGGAAGGAAGGAAGGAAGGAAGGAAGGAAGGAAGGAAGGAAGGAAGGAAGGAAGGAAG